GTCATTATCTCTATACTATTTAATTATTTTTCCTTTTTTGTTGTTGAACATATCTTTATTAGATGTAGCTGGTGATCAAGCATGCAGCTATATTAACTGAGAAAAGCAGGAAGCCATAGATATTAACTTATCTAACAGTCTGCACGCACACACACACACACACACACACACACACACACACACACACACACACACACACATGAATACACATAAATGCATACACAATCACATACAACTTGCTGATAGAGAAAATCACCTAGGTCACCCCTGGGAGATTATGTTACTGATGTGTGTTCTGAGTTTTTTGAGCTCAAGTTTGGTGAAATGATATTGTATACCTGTGGCATCTTCTATACATAGTGGAAGGCATTTGGGCTGAAATTTGACCAGGGCAACTCAGGTCTCCTTAGCTTCTACTTGGAATTACATGGGATTCCATGATAATGAACACTTTTTGTTAATACAGATATGCTTTAGGAAAACCCAATAGGTGGCAAAGTTTTATAGCAGAATCCAGGGAGATGATAGCTTTCCAAGTTCTTCTTTGCTGAACTTCTTTCTAACATGTAGCTGATTCTCTTCATGGGGTAGGAACCAATGTTCATGTGTTCATTATATTTTGTTTTTTCAAATTAAATTAGCATGTACCAGTAGAATATAAACTCCTTGATAGTAGGGGATGGTTTCATATCAGTCAGTCAACAAAGAGCATTTATTAATCACTTACACTGTGGTAATTAATAAGCATAGAAAGAGGCAAAATCTTAGCTCCTATTCTCATGTTCTAATTAGGGGAAACAATAGTTAAATAACTTTACAGGTGAGATAGAATAGATGAGAGGCAATGCTAGAGGGAACGTACTGGTGATGGAAGGCATTGGAAAAGGCCTTCTGCAGAATGGGGGTTTTCAGCTTTTTTTTTGCATTCATATTAAATATATCTTCACATTAGTCATGATGTAAAGAAGAATTAGAACAAATGGGATGAACTATGAGAAAGAACAAAGGAAAAGGAGAGCACGTAGTCTGCTTCTGTCTACATTCAGACTCCAGAGTTTTTTCTCTGGATGTCGATAGCATTTTCCATCGTGAGCCTTTTGGAGTCGTCTTAGATGCTTGCATGGCTGAGAAGGTCAGCTGAGTCTTGAAGGAAACCAAGAGGAGGAGGCGTGGAGTGAGGGCATTCCAGGCATGGTGGATGACAGCCAGAGCATAAGGCACAGAATCAGAAGATGGAAGGGCTTGTGTTAGGAGCACTCGGAAGGTCTGTGTCATTACCTTGGAGAGGATGTGGAAGCTAGTCAAGATAAAGAACGCTGGAATGGTAGGAAGGAGCCAGAGTATAAAAGGCTTTAGAAGCCAGACAGAGGATTTTATATTTGATCCTGGAGGTGATAGGGTGCCACTGTTGTTTACTAAGTGGGGCAGGGGCTTGACATGGTCAGACCTGGGCTTTTGGGATATTGCTTTAGCAGCTGACAGAAAGATGGACTGGAGTCGGGAGGGACATACTTTTCTTTTAATATTTTTTTTCCTTTTAACCTCAGTGTTTGGCGTTTAGTAAATGCTTAATAAATGCTTATTGGCTGACTGAAATAGTAAGTGCTTAAATGTTATGAATTTTAATTTAGTGACTTAATATTTGTGTTTGGATAATACAAGGGTGGACCTGGCAGAGAAAGGTGAAAAAAAATATGTTGAGCTTTGTGGCTCAGGATTAGGAGTCAAAAGAGGAGCAATGCTCATCAAGTCACTAAAAAGCAGATGTCAATGTGTCCGGTACTCATGAAGGGAATCAGAAAGTGATGAGCCTGGTTTACTCCAAAAAGCTGTAACATGAGAAATGGCTTGTGTGGTGTAGAAGAGAAAATGATTGGCCATTGTTGTTGGTCTCATTTTCAAATCAAGCTAAGATCCCAGATCTCTGCCCAATTAGAGGAAAGGATAAAGTGGAGACTAATATCTGAGAAGCAGATAAAATATATCCAACCTGTTCAGATTGCCCCATTATGCCAGCCATTCTTCCAACTTCAGTGTGTCAGTGGTTAAGGAAGGAGAATATTTGCAGTTGAAGTGGGATGGGGGTCATCTTGCGTCAAACGAACCCACTGACTCATGAGGCAACCCATTCCAGTCAAGGACAGTGTGATTCTTTAGGAAATCTTTCTTTCCATGAAGTCTCAATTTACTTCTTTGCAAATCCTTCCCCCTACCTTGCATTTGTCTATTGTGCTTAACAGGAATCTGCCCTCTTCTACAAGCAGCCCTTGAAATATTTATAGATGGTTACATGTCCTGTCTGAGTCTTGTGTTATCCATTTCAAACATCTCTTCAAACAGACTATCAATGTTCACATATAGGAAATGAATAGAGGAACAGACATAGACCTGGATTATGACCACTTTAATGGAAACAACTTTTGTAAACTAATCAAGCTTAAAATCCACCTGAACCAGAAAATACTTGATCTCCTCACTAAGTTAATGTCCCAATTTTAAGAACCAAGTAAATTGGTAATCCCAACATGTTAGAACAGAGTTTGCTTTTCTTAGCATGGATGAAGAGTTTATTCCGAAGAACTTGTCATTATTAAGACGTGTGTGTGTGTGTGTGTGTGTGTGTGTATTTGCCATGTAAATATCCTGTCTAACTCATCTAGCTTATTTAGGTTGGTTTGTTATGGGGACGATGTTGAGGAATGTAGTCTGGTAGTATTTAGAATTGAAGGCATGGTTGCTTTTGGGGAGAATGAGGAAGATCTTGGTAAGATGCCTCTTGAGTTTACCAGTCAATGGGCTCTGTTTAAATGTCTGTGTTTGATTATCACAGGGAATTAAAGCTCTTGGCAAAAATGCTTTTTTCTGTAATGTGCATATTTTAATATGCTAGTGCAGCCTTAGCTCACTGTGGTTTAATAAAGCAAAATGTACTGTCTCTCTAAGCACATAAAATGCCTACTGATGTAAAAATCAATTCTTCCCTCATAGAAGAAGACAATTGGGAACAGATGAAGAGACAAATACTTTGAGAGCATTATGTAAGAACATAAAATCCCAAATTTTGCCAGTGCAATTTAAGACAACCAAAAATAGATCCTCACTTAGTCATGTTTGCTGGCATGTTAGCTGGCATTGACAGCTGCCCCTCTCAGCTATTGAAATATTTCTTCATGAGGTTGTTAGGCAGATTGGCTTTTGAGTTGTTGATCCAAATTAATGAGTGCTTTTCATAATTACTTTTCTTTAGTTGAATCTCAATTCTGGAATTTTCAGAATTGCTTCATGCTAATTAGATCTCTAGAGGCAGGGTGAGCCTGGAAGACCTGGGTTCAAATCTTGTGTCTGACAGATATTGACTGTGTGATCCTGGGCAAGTCCCTTTACTTCTCCATGTTCTAGGTAGCTCTGGAGGACTACAAGTCACAGAGGAGGTACCAACCTGCATTGGTGGAGGGAGTTTTCTAACTGGAGAGGTCCTGTATCAAGGAAATCATAGATCCAGTCCAAAAAAAATTAGATCTCATGGAGTAAGTGAAGCCATATTTTCATTCCTTGATTCCTCTGGACCCCATTTGCTGGACTTACCAGTGAACTGTGATTCTGGCTGTCATGATATTTAACCAAAGGGACATCACAGATGGGGGGGTCAATCCAAATATTCACTTTTGTGGCATGGTAATGGGTAATAATAATAGCCACTTACATTTGTAGCGCTCTACATATCTTAATCCTTTTGATCCTTGGTACAGTCCTGTGAAATAGGTGTTTTTGTTGTTCACTTCTTACATATGAGGTAGTTGAGCCTCACAGAAGTCTCACAAAGCTAGGCAGTGTCCGAGGCAGGATCTGAACCCACATGATCTGGATTCCATTACATCGTGGTTGGAATCTGCCAGGAGCTCTCCCAACCTCCTTCGTCATCTCCTTTTGCAGCGAGTATTCCCATAGTAGAATCATGGCTCAGAATAATAACCCGGAGGCCTGATGGTGTTTTTGGTCATTAACAGAAAAAAAAGCTTAACTTGATCTTAGCCCAGTGTCTGTCCAAGGCCAGGAGGGGCTTAGGGATCTTAGGTCTTCTGTGGAGCAAGGTCCACTGGTGGAGAGAGGCCCCACATCTCTGGCAAGATTGTTTCATTAGAAACCCCTGTTCCCTGGACATAGCGGTTCATTACAGGTTTCTTCAATTCTAAAGGGATTAATTAAGCTGCCACTTAACTAATGTAACCTGTGTGACAGGCATGGTCCTCACAAAGAGAAGTGCCAACCGGCATCTGCTCTCTAGTTTACAGTCTTCCAGGGGGATACGATGGGCAAACAGATAAATAAATAAGAATCCCAGCAGCCACAAGAGCAACTATCATTTCAACAGCAAAGTATATCTCTGTTGAACCGTACCACCGTCCTGTGAGGTTGGTGCTGATGTTATCACCCCATTTTTCTGATGTGGAAACTGAGGCTGAGAGAGGTTGGGCTTTACCCAGTGTGGAACAAATGATAAGTTTCCAAGGCAGGATTCAAATTCATATCTTCCTGACCCAATTTTACCAACAGGCATGCATGCATATATACATAGATATACACACACATATATATCATAACAATATATGCCTTTCCACCAGAGGTTCTATATATGATTATGCACATAAATATAATGTGTATACATATTTGTGTGTGTACATAGGCATATGCACGCACACAGCACGCTGCGCATGTGTGCATACACACACACGCACACACACAGTAATTTCAACACAGAAAGAGCTATAACCTCTGGGGCAGTGGATCAGGAAAGGACTCTTAGAAATTAATGGCAAAGTACAAAATCTTTTTTTTTTTTTTAGTGCAAGCTGAACTCTCTTCTCCAAATAGTAAGCATTTATTAAGCTCCTGCCATATGTCAGGCACTGTCCAAGGTGCTGAAGACAAAGTCAAACAGTCTCTGATCTTGAAGAAGTTACATTCTATTGTGGTTTTGTTTTTTGTTTTTGCAAGGCTGT